ACGCATGGATAAGTTTCTCCAAGTCTGATTTAGACAGTAAACCTTTGATTTTCGCTATGTTTTTTAGATGGTAAAAGGCTGCAGATGTTATTGACTTGATGTGGCTGTTAAAGTTCAAGTCTGAGTCCATTATTACCCCTAGATTTCTTGCCTGATTTGAAGGTTTTAGAGAGAGAGACTGGAGGTGATGCTGACACTGTCCCTTTGTTTCTGTGGACCAAACACTGTGACTTCAGTCTTGTCAGAGTTTAGCTGGAGAAAGTTGTTTTGCATCCTGTGACAAAGAGGGCCTTTGTCCCCATTTTTCACCTTAGTTCAGTTACATCTATCTATATCAACTAAACAGCTAAATAATAACTATCCTGGGTTTGTTTTATTTAGTCTTTGTTTAATTGATCACATTCACAGTTACTTTAAATTCATTTTATTTGGTTATATCCCTTCATTTTTGTTCAAACTTACCACCTTTACCTGTGACTCCACATGGTCTGGGAACAAAAAGAGGGGGCGTGTCCTTTGGCAGCCATATTTATAGGCTCAGGGGGAGGTGTTGGCCCAGACCATGTGGAGGGAAGCCTCGGAAATGGTTCTTTGTTTTATCAGATGGGTTATTAGAATTTTGGTTTCAGTGTATCTAGTTAAGTTGGAGCACTGTTCAGTTTAAAAGCGGGATTAGGCTTCAGTAAATAATTTAAGGCAGCACACCAGTAAGGAAAGGAAATTGCTACAGTTTTCCCCGTAAGTTGGTGTGAACCCAGGGGGAGGGACTTCCTCTCTGGGGGTATATAAGTAGAGGCAGTTTAATCAGTAGGGAGGTCACATCAGTGCAGCCAGGTGCCTGTGGGTATTTTCTTTTGTTGCGTTATTTTCTGTTACTTTTGTTTAGTTAAGCACAGTTCTTTTTTTGTAAATATGTATATAATTTTGCCCACGACTTGGAAGGATCCAATAAAGAATTTGGTTTGGTGAAGGACAACTTTGCACTGGACTCTCATTTTGACCACTTGGGCCAGCTTCCCCACACACTGATCTGTTGGACGCAGTGACAAAGTGAGTCCACTGGTCCATAGTCCAGAGAGACGTAGATCTGAGTGTCGTCTGCATAATTGCGGTAGGACGCGTTACGCAATGGAGCACTTCCTGTAAGACCGCATGACATCACAAAGTGGAACAGAACTCACTCTAAACGTGCAGGGTTTGTGCGTTAAACGTGTGAATGAAACAAAACACAACTCCAGGTCTGAGGAAACATTAGAAAATACAGTAAATCCGAGAATAATGAGCTAATATTGTCCCTCAAAAGTTCATTTGTGCGTCGCCCGGGGGAAGATCACGTTCACGGGCTCCATAAATCCACATATATATAAATACATTCATAAATATGTAGATTCTCCAACAGGTTGTGTGAGTCCTGAGAAAGACACGTGAATATTTCATACAGCTGTAGTCGCTGGAGACGGAGACGGGCTCTGGTTTATTCATGCGCTCAGCTCTGTGATACTGTGTCTGCTGCGTCTTTTATTGGCAACAGGAAGAAATGTGGGCGAAGAACGGAGAGAATCTACTAAAACTGCTTCAGATTTTGTGGAAGGACGTAACGATATGAACATTGATCACACGATTTGCGTCTTAGTTGTTGCGATGTTTTGTGGACGCGAACAAAACGTGAATGTCGCTTTTCTTTCGTCATAATCTAAATAATAAAGTGCTTAATAACAGTTACGTCAGTGTGTAGAGCAAAGGATCATGGTCTATGTAGTTCTCCTAGTTTTTTAGCTGTTTAAGTAGACGATTCACAGTGTTGGGGAGTAACAGATTACATGAGTTATGTAATCAGAGTATAAATTATGAGTAACTGTATTCAGTTACAGTTACTGTTTCAGTGAGTGGGAATTGGATTACAGTTACTTTGCTGAAATAAATGGATTACACGGCGGGATTTTCCCTTTTTCACATTCTGGACTAAACCAGGACTAAACCAGGACTAAACCAGGTCTAAACCAGGTCTAAACCAGGTCTAAACCAGGTCTAAACCAGGACTAAACCAGGTCTAAACCAGGACTAAACCAGTTCTGAACCAGGTCTAAACCAGGACTAAACCAGGACTAAACCAGGACTAAGACAGGTCTAAACCAGGACTAAACCAGGTCTAAACCAGGACTAAACCAGGTCTAAACCAGGTCTAAAACCAGGACTAACCAGGTCTAAACCAGGACTAAACCAGTCTAACCAGACTAAACCAGGTTCTAAACCAGTAAACCAGACCAGGACTAAACCAGGTCTAAACCAGGACTAAACCAGGTCTAAACCAGGTCTAAACCAGGTCTAAACCAGGACTAAACCAGGACTAAGACAGGTCTAAACCAGGACTAAACCAGGACTAAGACAGGTCTAAACCAGGTCTAAACCAGGACTAAACCAGGACTAAGCCAGGACTAAGCTAGGACTAAACCAGGACTAAACCAGGTCTAAACCAGGACTAAACCAGGACTAAGCCAGGACTAAGGCAGGACTAAAGGACTAAACCAGGACTAAACCAGGTCTAAAACCAGGACTAAACCAGGACTAAACCAGGTCTAAACCAGGACTAACCAGGAAACCAGGACTAAACCAGGTCTAAACCAGGACTAAACCAGGTCTAAACCAGGACTAAACCAGTTCTAAACCAGTCTAAACCAGGTCTAAACCAGGACTAAACCAGGTCTAAACCAGGACTAAACCAGGTCTAAACCAGGTCTAAACCAGGACTAAACCAGGTCTAAACCAGGACTAAACCAGTTCTAAACCAGGTCTAAACCAGTTCTAAACCAGGACTAAACCAGTTCTAAACCAGGTCTAAACCAGGTCTAAACCAGGTCTAAACCAGGACTAAACCAGGTCTAAACCAGGACTAAACCAGTTCTAAACCAGGACTAAACCAAGACTAAACCAGGACTAAACCAGGACTAAACCAAGACTAAACCAGGACTAAACCAGGACTAAACCAGGATTTAACAGGACTAAATCCTGCTGTGTGGACGTGTCTCTTCTTCTATCAATAATATTTTTAATTTGGTTCAGTAAAGTCTGGACTTTTTATTTTCTTTTATCAGACAAAACTTCTTATGTGAAGATTTCCTCGTCTTTGCTTCTCTACAGCAAATCAAGTAATCCAAAGTATTCAGATTACATTACTCACTTTAAGTAATTATGTTACAAACTACATTTTGGGGTATGTAATCTGTAATCTGTAGGGGATTACATTTTAAAAGTCACCTTCCCAACACTGCTTATTCATCAGCCGGTTTCACTTCGTAGAAACTGTGTGACCTCGCAGCATTAGGATTCGTTCACTCGTACGGGAGGCAGCTGCTGTTATTTGGTCGTGACGTATGTAAAGCGCCGCTAACGGGACTAACTGGTATATCAAGCTTTTCCCAAATCCCGTAGGAAGAAGGACAATAACGTCTTTCCCCTTGATAAAATTCACCAAACATTCTCTTTGTTCCGTCTTTAAACCCTCGATCTCGGGAATCGTTGCAACACTGAATGTCTGGTTCTTTGCTGATTGGCTGGAGCCCAAACTGGAGAGAAATGAAATAGAGCGGAGGCACTTGGTGGGACCAGCCTGGCTACTGTTTAGGCAAAAAAAACTTGTAATTTGATATGTTGTGATGGCCCATGATATTGTGAGACTTTCGGTTATTGTTACATTCCTAATTTTGCGCATTAAAATTAAGAAAATATATATATATATACTGAAAAAGACATGAGTAATGCAGTGGCACTTTATACATTTTTTATTACATTGTTTATGGTTTTGAAAATTTTAATTTTGTAGTGCTTTTTTGGAAAGCACTTTGGTCATTATAAATAACAATTTTGGTCTTTGTTAATACTGATTGATTTATTTAGCTGCCTGAATATCTTGCACAGCATTAGTGTTGTAGTCAAGACTGCACTGATCGAGACCAAGACCATGTCCCAGATCACAGGATCCTGGACCAAGACAAGACCAAGACCTCTGAGGGTTGAGACCGAGACAAGACAGAGACCTTTAAAGGTCGAGACCGAGACAAGACTGAGACCATGGCCCATAGAGACCAAATTAAGATCATGTTTGTAATTTTTGACATTTATTTGTGTTTTACAGTTATTTTGGCACATCTATATGTCAATGTATTTATAAATCTGTCTCCATTTTATCACTCATCGAGTGTCAGACCTCAAGACCAAGACAAGACCAAATCCAGATGTGGTCTAGTCCGAGACAAGACCAAGAACACAAAACAAAACAAAACAAAAACAAAAAATCGGTCTGAAGGCCGGTCTCGAGTACTACAACACTACATAGCGTCTAGCCTGGAGATTCCTCAACCTGGACTCACAGCCGCAGTTATTTTAGGACTTTGGTGAAACTATCCAATGGTGTTTTTTTCTCTTGGGTCTAATACCTGGTTGTTTCTATGGAGATGCTATTGCTTTTCCATAAATATTCCACACTATGGCATTAAACTCATTATTACAGGGGTTTTCTTTGCTCAAAAATACTTTGAAAAACAGGAATTATTTAGATTGTAGAGTTTTAAAAATTGCCTTTTTTTTTTTTTTTTAAGTCATTTGCTTTGATCACTGCTTTAGAAATTTGGCTTTTCTTGACCCTGACACGGAGCAACTGTGAAGTGAAAGAAAATCATTTCAGGAAACTCTCAGTGAGCTTCTTGATGAGTCAAGGTGCAAGGTTTTTTGTTTGTCATTCAAGTACGTAAGAGAAACACGACAGAACGAAATGTGTTCCTCGAGGCCCAGTGATTAAAAGAGATAAAAACGATAATAAATAAGCAATATTTAAAAATACATCAACAGCTTTTAGTAGTTCCAACAGAAAAGTACAAGTAGAACGTGTGGAAATTCTCAGAAACTACACCTCGGTTACTTATATTTCCATAGTTTTTTTTTTCTAAATATCAATCTTCGCAGAAATCTGGACTCAGTTTTGCTTCATGTTCTTCTCTCCTCAGACGTCTCAGGAGTTCCTGGACCAGCTCATGTCCAAACTGGGCGGTAAAAACCCGGAGGAGACGGGAGGCTTCCAGGAGGCTCCTCTGGCCTACGACGCCGTGTGGGCCCTGGCTCTGGCCCTCAACAAGACCGTGGGGCCCCTGAAGGCGAAAGGCTACAGGCTGGAGGACTTCAACTACAACAACAGAGAGATCACAGCGGAGATCTACAGAGCGCTCAACACCAGCTCCTTCGAGGGCGTTTCGGTGAGATCAGTTTAGAAACACTTAAACGGTTGTATGGAGGATATTTTTTTGTTTGTTTCAAGTTGTCAATGATAGCATTATAGAGGTGCAGTAGCCTTGTAATTATGATGACCAAAAAAAAGAGAATAAAAATTCATCAACTCTGGACGTGGTGGGGCTAAACATTTGCCAATAGATAACGACACTGCCTCGTTATCTGTGAGCTGACAGGCTGTCAATCAATCTCCCTACGTTTCTAGTGTAACTGACTTGCCTGCGCGCTGCCGGTACGTGGTTTACGTACGACTGTCACGCAGTCCACAGACGCAAGACGCACAGACGCTGTTTACTCCACCAACGCAACAGTTCTTAGCGGCTTTTTTTGACCTATATCTTCCTCGCAGTTCGCACAAAGTTTGTTGCAATGGCGACAAGAATCCAGGAGCAGTTCGCCGCAAAAGAAAGTCCGTTTTTGAGGTCGCTGAAAGAAGAAGACAAGGGGAAAAGCAGCAAAGCCAAACTAAGGTGATTCTTGAAGATTCATTCCAGCGATGGCGCGACTGAAGCAGACGCAGGGTCTAAAGACTGACGCACTGGTCCACAAATTACTCCTGGACAGGAAACTTCTGCTTATTATGAAAACGTACTTTATTTCCAAGAGCTACACAAACGTTTTTCAGGACACGAAAGCGATATCCTATGTCTGAAAACGTAATTTTCAAGGCAAAGAAAGAGTCCGCTTGCTGCTGCGTGTTGTAGCTAGTTCATTCGCACTGAATCTCCGCGCAACCTTCTCTGCTCCCCTTTCCTGCTCCTGTCCCCGCTGCCCGATCCACTCTTCCCCCTGCTCCTCACTTCTCCGGGCACGAAATGTCCGCACACCCCCTCCCCCTGCTCCTCACTTCTCCGTCTTGTCTAACCAACACTGTAGTTAGTTGTTTACAAGTCATGTGCAGCGGCTGTAAACAAACCTGTTTCTGGCGTAAGGAGGAGGAGGGAGGAGGTGTTTCTACGTAGGAGCTGTAGGGGAGGGGGGGTGGTTTCACGCATGCGCAACATTTGAAAAAGGACAAACAGTCGCTGGATTTCTCGTTCCTTGGAAAATCCTCTATACAACCTTTAAAGTACGTTTCTAAATTCTTTAATTTATTGGTGGCTTTGATAGTTTGATACCAAAAACAGTACTTCATAAACATTGGTCTGTCTGTAAAAAAACAGCCAGGGTTGTCCACAAAAAGTAGCAGCGACAAAGAAATCAAATTAATTTTAAAACATTTTTAAACTGCTGCCTCCACAACTCGGCCCTGAATAAGTGGAAGAAAATGGATGGATGGTTGGACGTTTTTAAACTTTTATTTCATTGGCAAAGGAGAAATTCAATTTGTCAACTGGACATATATTTATTTAGGTCAAAAACATTTTTCAGCTCATCCAAAACGCTTCTTCAGTTCTTTTTTATTTTGTTTATATTTTTATTTATCGGTGAATCATGTGAGTTGTTCTGTTTCGTTTGTAGTCTACATGCCGTATTTTCCGGGCGATTAGCCGCGCTCTTAAGCCTCTAACCGCATCAAAAAACGACCACGTGCCCCACAATCCAGAGCGCCTCATACACCAATCCACTCAGGTGTCCCAGCACGACTTCAGTAAACTACAAAGCCACAATCACACACGGAGCAGACAGCGAACGCACAGCGAAAAACACCCACAGACTCACTCATCACTCCACGCCGACGAGGAACGGAACGGAGGAACGAACCGAAAAAGCGAGTCCAATGTGCCACTTCTAGACACGACTGAACAACTGAGTCACTGTGAACACGACGACAATCCGTTGGTCCCAGACACACCCTCCCTACACGCCACAACTGAACAAAGCCCAGAGTCACCGTGAACGAACAAACAAACAAAACCACTCACTGTTACGACCCAGTTCATTTGGGGTGAGGGAAGTAACAAAAATAAAACCAAGATGTAAAATGGAATAAATTAAATAATGTTTAATTAGCAGGAAGGTAAAAGGTAAATTAACAGGACAGACTAAAATATACAGAAAACAACCTAAACTAAGAAACAGAACAACAGAATAAACAGAGTTTTGTGCCACAAAAGGGGTCACGCAGGCTTACAAAAAACGAGTGGTAAAACTTAGGGACTAAACTAAAACACAAGTTCCCCAAATTAAACCACATAAACCCACAAACAGAATCGAGTGACCAAATCAAAAAAGGCACAAAACAGAACTAAATTATACAACACACACGAAACCAAAATGGCAGACTGGCCACCAAGACCAGCAGCCCCGAACAGGTGCTGGTCATCTCCTTAAATAGGGGGCGGTGGCTGCAGGTGAGGTGGGCGTCGACCTGCCCCACCAATCACGGACCAGGGCTCCTGCAGCAGGAATCAGGAGAACTTCAGGCAAAAATTACACAAACAAATTGGAACTAAAGCCTGGGCCGTAACACTCACCCATCACACTGTTGTGTTTCATTTAAAGTCCAGTGCGGTTTATTTGTGAAAAAGTTAGAAAATAGACCATTTAACGACAGTGCGTCTTATAATCCAGAGCGACTAATAGTGCGGAAAATACGGTACATAATTATCTCCTCTGTGAAAGGTTTTGTGTCGAATATCAAAACAAGATGAACCAAAAGTTTTAAACATGGCTCTTTCAGTTTTTTTTTTAAAATCCATTTGTCATCTGCAGAAAGAAAAAAAAAGTTTAAAATCAATCCCTATTCACCTGCAGTGTCTGGCCTTAAAGCTACAGTATGTAACTTTTTATCCAGAAAAAATGGTTTGGTTGTTTGTTTGGCACTGAAAAGCGTGCATTTTTACTGTGAACAGGCTTGCATCTCCACAAACCTGACTCTTATTTGGCCTCTTGCTTGTTTTCAAAGAAACGTTGACCCTATATTCTTCAACAGTATGACATAAAAACTTGCATGTCTCCGTGGAAAATGTTCCGAAGTGTGATTTTAACGTTCTGTTTTCATGGAATCACTGCCACCTCCAGAGAGTTACAGACTTCACTTTCAAATTTAAAATCTGTCAACTCTAAAATGTTTGTGTTCCAACAAAACCACCTGTTCATGTGAGGAGGCTTGTGTAGTGTTTTTTTTTTTCTACACCACTTTTGACTTTTTGGATGTTAAATCACGAATGTCGCTCTGGTTTTGTCCTCAGGGTCACGTGGTGTTTGACGCTCAAGGTTCTCGAATGGCCTGGACTCTGATCGAACAGCTCCAAGGTACGACCCCTCTCCCCTCTCTCCTCTCCTCTCTCTCTCTGTGTTCGTTTATCTGCCGTCCACGTGTCCTTCACACTGACTCTTCATCACTCACTCTGATGGATCGTACAGGGGCGCGTTCGCTCAATACTAACATTTCAAACTCGATTTCGATACCATGGAAAAGACTTGATACTCAATACCAAACCTCAAGATCATTCTAAAACTATTTCTATCCTGGGAATGTGACTTTTTTGGTATCGATACCTGCTCAAGTGAGTATTTAGTATTGATTAGGATCTGATTTCTAATACTTTTTGACAGGCCAAGTCAGTACAGCACAAATTCCTCTTGTATTGTCCCAGTGACAATATGAATGCACGACTCAATGCCATATTTCCTCCTCTCCAACACACAAAACAGCACAAAATACAGAGATTTTGGTTTAACAACACTTAACAGCTTTAAACCGCTTATTTACTCAAGTTTTGTATTAGACTCATTAATATTAGACTAGATTAAGACTCATCTAAAATACTACTAAAATTGCACTGATAAAGTAACTATCAGTGTTGGGAGTAACGCGTTATAATAGTAATGAATTACAGTAATGCATTACTTTTTGTTGTAACGCAGTAATGTTCGGCATTACAGGGGAAAAAATAGTAATGATTTTACTCGGTACAAATGTGAGTAACGCGCGTTACAGTGTTTTTTTAACCTGGATTGAAGTGGTGGGTTTTTCTTCATACAAATTCGCTAAAATCACCTCGATATTAGCTGAGACGCGCCCTCATAGACCTTCAGGTGACCGCGGGCGAAAGGACTGACAAAGAACTCCACGCTGTTTAGACCTGGTTTAGACCTGGTTTAGACCTGGGTCAGTTCTGGTTTAGACCTGGTTTACACTCGTCCCTCCCTCTATCGCAGTTCACTTTTCGCTGTCTCGCAGATTTTATTATTATTTTTTTGTGCAATTTTGCATGCCCTGTTTTTTTCACATTGTATGAATGCGTATTGTGTTCCTCCCGCTGCGTCCTGATTGGCCATGGGACTCTTGTCTCCTGTACAGTACAGAATGTGTTCAGCTGCCAAATTTAAATACATGTTCAATCTGTATCAGTGTGATTCTGAAGTGCTGTACGGTTGCAAGTTTTCTCCCCGACGAAACCCACAACGTCGACGAAACGTTCTGCACGGACAAAGGCTCCTGCGCTCGCATCCAAAAGGCAGAGGAAGATGCAAACCATCACACAAAAAGTTGGACTTCTGGACACGCTGAAGGAAGGTAGAAGTTACGCGCTGTAACAGACTCTTGCACCGGGTCTTGTACCCGCAAATATTTGCTGAAATCAGGGCTACGAGCCCGAGCAGCAGGGTGACAGCCGCTCTTACCTCCGTGAGGTGCGGAGCAAAGCCGTTCCTTTCTCCTTCGAGCCCGTCCCTACAGTGAGTCCTGTTTTAGTCCTGGTTCAGCTCTGGTTTAGTCCTGGTTTAGACCTGGTTTAGTCCTGGTTCAGTCCATATACAGCGCAAAAGTTATTTTGGTGAGAGTAACTTAAAGTAATGCAATAGTAATGTAATGCCTCACATTTTAAATGCAGTAATATTGTAATGTAATGAATTACTTTGAAATGACAGTAATAGGTAATAAATAACGCATTACAGTTTCAAAGTAACTTGCCCAACAGTGGTAACTATTACCGTATTTTTCAGACTATGAGGCGCACTTAAAATCCTTGAATTTTCTCAAAATCGACTGTGCACTTTATAATCTGGTTCATCTTATGTATTAATTCTGTGTGTGTTTACTGACCTTGAACCAATTTTATGTGGTACACGGTGCTCCGCTTGATGGATTGTCGGAGCATTACGGCTACTCTAGTCAGGAGCCTCGCAGAGTAAACCGTGTCCTTTAGTCCGACAGAAGCTGAACCGCATCAGCGCACAAGAAGCGAGCTGTTTTTTCAGCGCTTATAGTTTACGCAAATGAGTCATGTGGTTTTAAGTTTAGTTTCTGTTAAACGTTAACAAATGTGGCAAAGCTGCATTAAACACATTATTACTCAATGTATATTTGAGTCGTCCTTATAGGAAATAAACAAACTTAAATGATCCACACACATTCATGTTTATAATGCACCAAAACAGGGAGTAAACATCGGGCGAATTACTCCACGATCTGCCGATGGATTGTCAACGCCTGGGCTAAGGATCAGTCTCAAGTGTCGACCGTTTGTTTCACTTAATGCGCTTTATATTCCGGTGCGACTGATGTATGAAAATAGACGAGAGATTTCAAAATTATTGATATTGCGCCTTATAATCTGAAAAATATGGTAACTTATTTCTCATGTACTTATAATTTAGTACATTTTTGGCCATGTAACTGTTCCTGTTTCAGCACCACCGCTGCTACTTCTGCAATTATTATGATATAATTTCCATTTTTATATCATATCGTTACTTTACATGAGCCGTACAAATCTCTAGCATCTAAGTCAAATCTTTGTTGTAATCCAGGATGTGTGTTTGCTCACTCCCTGCTGTTTTGGACGACTTTAATAGTTCAGACAGATTTTAATATTTCATCATAAACTTTACAATAAGAGTCTGAAGTTCCAACACGTTCTCTCTTGGCTAAGGGCTAACCCCGCCGGGAGAGAGAGCCCCTCTGCTCCGAAACGCTTCAGAACCCTTCAAACTCTAGCGTCGGTGACAATATGAGTAAGTGTGAGTCTTTTCAGTTGGCTGATGTGTCTGTAGCCCGCTGCGCTCCCAGCCTCGCCGCGCTCATCACAGCTCCAGCGCTCTGTCTGGAGACCGTTAGCGTCGCTGTTCTACTTTAGCGATTTTCCGCGTTCATCAAACATCTCAGACGTGGTGTGTGGAGGAACATCACGGCAGATTACCCAGAGGTCTGATCTCCCAAAGCTGAGCGCGTACGGAAGCTCAGTGCCGTCCTGGAGCGAGCGGAGACGACGGTGGATCTCAGAGACAGATGTTTGTTCATCAGCGCTGTAATGGAGTCAGTCTGCCGAGACAAACCTTCTTCTGTTTTCGTGGAGGAGCGAGAGGTCGAGTAACTTTCTCACGCGAAATGGTTCTCAAGTCTGGTTATTAGATTCTTTTTTCAGACCAAGAGTTTGTTTTCATACCTGACACTTTTGACTGATCACTGTGGCCTTCCTCAGAGTCACGTAATGTTGCTGTGACGTGTCGTTCAGCTGATTTAAACAGGCCAAAGATGTTCATTTTGTCTTCTTATATACTTTAACTTCTTGGGTTCTTTTTAAAGACAATGCAGTAAAGTGTGTTTACCTTGTTGACATGTTTCGGCTGCTGCATCTTCAGAACTGTCACCGGTGTTGGTGGTGACGTGTCGTATATCAGCTGTTGTTACTTCCTGTGGGCGTGGTCAGACCTGATGGACCTGCAGGTCGCTCAGACTGACCACGCCTCCCGTCGCCCGGTGTCTCTGGAGGAGGGTGTCCCAGGTGTGTGAAAGGAGGAACGCTCCATCATCACGGTTAACGCTGTCCGTGCCTCGCTTCCTGATTTCACCGTCCTCCTTGATCCAGCGTTTGAACTTGTAGTTTTCTGATCCAATGACCCGAGCCCCGTCCCGATCCAGAATGTGGTTGTTCCTTTTACAATGGGTCTGATATGTCAGATTTTAGGTTTTCCTGTTCTGCTTTTTCTTTTTGTGTTCTGGTGAGTCTCCCTGATGTTTCTTTTTCGCATTCCTTTTGGTCTTCCTTTTTTCGGATGTGGAACGCTCGGCCTGTTTCCCCATGTATGATTTATTGCATGATTTACATTGGATTTCGTAGCTGGCGTTGCATTTTTGTTCTTGTGGGATTTTATTTAAACAGGTTTTGGCGCTGTCTTCCTACTGGTGGAGGAAGAACGACAGCGCCATCTGCAGTCCGACGTCCTCAGACAGTATCCCAGGTGTGTGAGAGTAAAAAAAAAAACATCATCCCGGTTTAAAATCTCGTGAGCAGCATGTTTCTGTATGTCGATTGCCTCTTTAATCCAGAAGTGGGTTCATAAGTGTGTTCTATTTCTTCAAGTGTGTGGACAACAACAGTGTAAGACCTGGATCAGTCCACACTAGTTCGTATTCAAGTTGTTTTCGTTGTGGATGCAGTGTTCGTCCACACTAATCCGATTGAAAATGGTTCCAGAGACAGAAGCTGAACCCCATCAGCGCACAAGGAGTGAGCTGTTTTTTGAGCTCTTAGTTTAGGCAAATTTGCTATGCCGTTTTAAATTTGGTTTCTGTAAAACGTAAACAAATATACTCAAAGCTTTGTGGATAGGGAAGGCTTGCGGACACAGAAACGACATTTCTGGATACAGTGATACGCGGATTCGTTTCAGTGTAAACCCAGAATTTGTTTTCACATCTGACAGTTTTGACATGTTCGCTCAGCTGATTTACACAAGTTTTGGTTTTGTCTTCCTACTGGTGGAGGCAGGACGACAGCTTCATCTGCAGTCCCACTTCCTCAGGACAGAATCCCAGGTGTGTAAGAGTAAAAAAGCCCCCTCGTCCCGGTTTATTTCCCGTGGGAACGTTTCTGTATCTTAATTGCCTCTTTAATCCAGAAGTAGGTTCATAAGTCTATTCTATTTCTTCAAATGTGTGGACAACAACAGTGTAAGACCTGGATCAGATTTAGGCCCCGTCCACACTAGTTCGTCTTCCAGTTGTTTTTGTTGAGGGTGTAGTGTTCGTTCACACTAATCCGATTGAAAACGGCTCCAGAGACGGAACGATCTGGTGCCGCCAGCTCCCACGAATTCATCTGAGTACAGATCTGATCCTGCACCATGTGGACACCTGAAAACGCTGATACTCTGATGTAAGTCTATGCGCCGCGAAGTAATTCACCGTCAAAACACTAAGAGGCTAGAATATCTGTCCATTCATATAAACGTGTGTCTGTGTGTTCGACCTGCAGACGTATAATCTCTGAAAAGTTTATTAAGCGACAGAAACACAGAACAGACTC